AAAAGAGCTGCCTCATTTACAATTTGCAAGTCATTGCACAATGGCTCAGAAAATCTTCAGCAGCATATGTTTGCAGATTTACACTTGGTTTTAATATCTTTTATTTGCACAATGATATTATAACAATGATAGAGTGAAGTGTGACTTAAGTGTCCAAATGCATTATGGAGCCACTATGTGTACATACATATGAAACTGAGAAATATTCTGTTCATGCCAATTGAAAATCACCACAAAAAAAAGGACAGTTCTTCCACAAGTATTTTGTTTGTTTCTGAAATTCACTCTCGGTCATGTTATCCTACTGCTATTCTCCTTGACATAAATGCACGGCCAGTGGATTAATTCGCTGGTTCTCTGTGATGAGGCAGATCACAGGCAGCGCCTCTGGGAGATGTGTGTCTCGCCATGTTACCTGGGCCCTCAGCCAGTGGCCTCATTCCCAATGACATATCAGCCTTTACAACACCAAATAACAAGCAGCGAATCAGATGCTATAATATAAACAGTTGTCTTTTTTTTTTTTGAAAATTGATTGTGAATTTCATTAAACTGAAGACAATTTAAAGCTACAACCATCTCTTTGTCCAACTAATGACAAATGGGAGGTTGCATTCAGAAAGCATGTTTGAAAACAGTCATTATTTTTTCGATTCCATTTGTGGATGCTGAAGTGCAGAATTTACTCCAAAAAAAATCTAAGGATAAACAAAAAGTAACACTCTATTGAAGCTGTACATTTAAATTACTTTAAGATGAATCACAATGCAGGCAAAGAAAAACTACGAGAGAAAAAGACAATTTTCTAAGCAAAAGCGGTCTGATGTATTTGATGTCTTTTTTCCCACACTGGGAGATCACATTGTAACCTTTGGCAAAAAATACACCTAATGAATGCATGAAGCTGTCATACCACACTCATTGTGCAAAGAGACCTGGCTTTTTAACAACTTGTTTCGAAGATCATTCTTGGAAAAGAACCAAAGTGCTGGATATGAGAGGCGAGGGACAGCAGGTTCTATTTTTCAGTAGTGTATTTACAGAGGAATTAAGTGGTAATGCAGAGATTGCTGAATGATTTCTTTAGCTCTAGTTTGTTTTGCAAGTGGGATGAAACCAAATCATCTGGTGCCCACAAAAAAACTCATACTGTTTCCCCCAGATAGTAAAGAAAAAAAAGAAAGAAAAAAAAAAGCAATTTTCAAAGCTTTTGCCTTTTGGGTCAAAGATTAGCAATACCATGCATATTATTTTTCCACAAAAACAATAATGAGGATAGTCAACAACATTGTTTTGCCCAAAGCTGGATTTGCAGTCTTACTTTCAGATGAATATACAGTATATTGCAGCCTCACAGTGCCTGAAAAAAATAATAATAATGAATCACACATGCTAATGCAGATGAAACTGAAAGATTTTAAGAGAATAACTTACAGAATAAGATATTTTTTAATTGTCCATTTATTTATTTGTTTGTTTTTCAAAATATGCTCTCATTCATTTCCATTCTGTGGGGGGAAAAAAGCTGCATTATTCTATTAAACTTCCCTGACTGTGTTCCACTAGAAGAAAGAAAGTCAAATGGGGTTTGAATAACGCTCATGGTGATTAAATTTGTATTTTACTTATATTAATTTATTTATTTGTATCCACAAAGGAGAATTTGTTTTGTGTGTGTACTTTAAGCTTAGTTTACATGTGTTATTATAATATATAAGAGACAATAATTATTTTGTGGCAGTTTAACTGAGTCAAGTATAGGGAAGGCTGTGTTGGAAGAAATTGGGCATCATGTACTGTAGTAATCAGGTATGTTGAGGTTTTCCGATATTTTAAAACAGAGACAGAGCGATGAGTATGGGACAGATAGAAGCAAATCTTCTATAATTGGGATAATTAATTGGCTGCTGATGATGCCAAACAACAAACACTTTCAGTGAGTGAATTGAGGATGCTCTGGCTGACCTCGGTGCTTCCATTCTGGCAAAAAGAGCAGTTTTATGAATGGTCTGTGAACAGTCTGTTGGCATGATATCAGAGGCTAGGGCTCATCCGGATGTTTTTGGTGAAACATTTGGCACCATTTGGCACGTGACTATGCACAACATACTCTGGACTGTTCCAGCACCTTCAAATCAGGACGGAATCACTGTGGTAAAAAATACACAAGAAATATAAAACAAAGAAAGTTGATAAAAGGAGGAATCATAAAGAAGAATGGGTGGGATCAAGGAGGGCTGACAGAAGCATTGAAAATTTGCAGCCAGTTTAGTACTTGATGCATCACTTTTGACTGATGAATAAAGCTTATGCTGGCCTATGCTCACCTGTTTTTGCCTTAATGATTTATCTAAAAATGTCAGAAAACCTTTTATATTTAAATATTCAAATATTCAGTCTTATTGACTGACCAGTTCTTTTCACCTGCTGCCATGTTTCAAATGAACTGTGTATGTAAATGTTGCCATTGTGTTTATTTTATATTCTTGGTTTCTTTCACTTATTTTTAGCATTTTTGTAATAAAAAAGTGTATTCAGGCATTATAGTGTATGTCACAATGCAGCTAGATATTTGGACATTTGAGCGAAACTTCTGTGCACCATTTATTCAATTAAATTTCAATTAAATTCAAGTTTATTTGTATAGCGCTTTTCACGATACAAATCGTTGCAAAGCAACTTTACAGCAAATTCAGTTTCTACAATATTTAGTAGTAACTTATCAGTGGTGACTATGTCAGTTATTGTACATATGGCAGAAATGTACGGAAAAATCAATTAAAGACGTATTCAAACAAACGATGAACACTAGTAACAGCAATTATTATATGATGCAATCAAACGTATGGCAAAATTTGGTAATTCTGTATGTTGTTTCAGGGTTGGCATCATCTGAGGTCCTCTGAACCCATGAAGGGCCTTATAGGTAAGTAATAGTGTTTTGTAACTGATACAGAACTTAATAGGTAGCCAGTGCAGTGACTGTAAAATTTGGGTAATATGATCATATTTTCTTGACCTGGTAAGGACTCTAGTCGCTGCATTTTGGACAACCACCTAGCAGTGCATTACAATAGTCCAGTCTAGAGGTCATGAATGCATGAACTAGCTTTTCTGCATCAGAAACAGGTAACATGTTTCGTA